ATTGGGAATAAGAAAAGAATAAGGTAGCTACTATTATCCCCACTTTAATAGGCTCAAAAAAGTAATAAGTTGCCCCATTGTCTCACAACCACTGTTTTGGGAAAAAAAAAAAAGATTAGAAATGAGAGAGCTAAACATTTTGTAACACATTTTGTAAAATTAGAACAATTACCTTAGTTTTCTTTCTGAAACAAATTTATAGTATATCATCCCCATGGTGATGTTAAACCAGCTTGACAGTCTCCTAGAGAAACATATTCTAAGTTTCATTAGAGGTGGCCGAACTTGGTTTAAGAGGGAGGGAGAATAAACTAGGCAGGGTGCTGTCTAGGTGAAGTACTGTTAGACACTTCACATATGGTGTCTTGTTTATTCTTTACCAGCATCCCCCAAATAATGTACTTTATTTCTGTTTTACTAAGAAAGTAACTGAATTCAAAGCAGATAAGTGCAAGATATACACTAAGAGGACTGCAGAGCTGGCATTTGAAATAAGGGTTTTATTAAATTCAATTTGCTGTATCATCATGTTGAATTAAGAATAGCATAGGAGTTCGCAGAGAGAGACATCTCATTGGCACAGACAGCTAAGGGATGAGTAACAGAGATAGAAAAGTAACATCAGAGGGTGCAGAAATGTTGACAGAAGAAAATCTGCAAGTTCCACAGAGAAAGAAGAGAACAGGTGCAGTTCCTGGAGGTGTGGACCCAGCTCTGAACACTGCTTCCCCTTCCTGTTTGGAGGCCATCAATCTGCCATTGATTTGGGCAAACACTAGCATCGTTGCTAGTGGAAAAGCAAAAGTTTTTGCACTTGAGAAGTCCAAGATGAGACTGAGTGGTTGCCATGGTGATTTTTTGATCAATGATGATGAGATAACAGCAATAAGTGTCAATGTCTAGACCACGAGGCAGATAATGAGGGAAGGTTGAGACTGAGTGGACAAGCTGCTGGTTTGACTATTTCTGACACCCACTTAACTGGCAGAAGGTTGGGGCCAGACAGTGGTGTGGTGGTAAAATGGGATGATCTGTAAAGCAATCTCACATTGGAGTGTTACCAGTTCAAGTCTGTAGACCTCTCTTAATATGCTGTACTGATATGTGCCCATCATCTAGGGCTGGCTGACGGCTGGGGGTAGATTGTAATGTCAGGACCCTCTTGGGGGTTCTGGCTCTCTCTTGCTCTCTTTTATGGAAGAAATAAATAAATAAACTTAATAAAAAATAAAGTGGTGGGCCGCCTTCTCAGTCCTTTAATACAAGTATCTCCATATTCTCTCTGATCAATACTTTTATTCAGAAACAGCCAGAAAATGGAAACATGACTTGAGTCAGTGAAAGAAGGATAAAGGGACAAAAGATAGAAAAAAAGTGGAGACAGAGATGATAAAAATTAGTGTTCAGCTATGTTTAAGAAATTGACAAAGACCATTAATGAACATGCTTATCTCAAAACTCACCCTATTCAACATAATCACCCATAAACACACAGTAAGGCAGTGTGTCTGTGGATGACTGAGAAATACAACAGCAGATTGTGTGTAGAGATAAGAAAAAAAGGGGTAGGCCATACAACAGATTTACAAAATTAGTTCTAGCGAAACACAATCTCCCGGAGATGGTGACATCACAGGAAAACATCTCTTAGAAGGTAGCTATGAAGTCCAACTGCCGGGCCTGCTGCAGGACACGCCTTTCCTGGTCCTGCCTGCAGCCTCGCCTTCATGCCCAGTTCTGCCATGGGCACCAGCCTCCTCCACTTTGTGGCCCTCTGGCTCCTGAGAGTAGGTGAGTCCTGAGCTAATGGATCAGCATTGCTGGACTTTGCCTCTGGCTCTATAGCTGCATTTCAAATATACCTTGGATCTTTATGTTACCCAAAGATTTTCTGAAAGGAATTGATGTGTACATGAAAACAATCACATTATGGAGTAGAAAGCAAAATTCATGTAAAATTTTAAGTGAATGCAGGAGAGTGTAAAGATGTTTGATCTTGTTTTGGTCTGCTTCATCATTAAGTACTCATTATCTGCCCTTCTGACTTCCTCATGTGGTCTCTCCTCTTCTGAGGTCTCGCAAATGCTGGTGTCACCCAGGACCCACGACACCTCATCAGGGGGCGAGGGCAGAACGTAACCCTGAGGTGCAGCCCAGTGAGTGGACACAACAGTGTTTACTGGTATCGCCAGTCCCAGGAGGAAAGTCTGAAGTTCATGACTTACCTCCAAAAAGAAAATACCATAGA